CTGCAGTTTATCTTCACGCATGTTGTGTGGCACAGATGTGAACGGGGGCTTTAATCAACAACTTTTCCCAAGTCACATGGGGTTATAGAGGTGTGGCTTGGCAGCTTTCCTATACCATGTGGAACGAAGTTCTACTTATCTTGTAAACAATAAAAACCCGTCTCCTTGATAACATCTCCTGCTCAGGTTTCAGCTCTTTTCCTGTAGTCTATGCACAGTTCATAAAGGAATAATTCAATTGTCCTGCCTCAAAGAGCGATCATATTGCTGCATGAAATCAGGATGTCTTTACAGGAAAATATGTATGGCATGTTTTATATTCTTTCCACACCTAAAGGCATAAGGTTAAGGCTTTGATTTTTGAAGGTAATTCCTACCACTCAGTCATGTGCTTTTGAGTAACAAGAAGCCTTTGAAATATTTGTGGCATGTCCAATGGAAAGCATATTGACAGTGCCAGAGCCAGAGGGCCTTGAGAAGCATTGCAAAACACCGTGCTCCTTTCAACTGTAAAACAAAGAGTCCTGAAATCTACAGAATGATGCAAATTGTGTAGACCCGTGGGACTTCCTTTTTATTTGTATTTTTTTTAATTTTGCCTGATCTTGCTCTGACATACATATTTTTTTGTGTGTCTGCCAGGAAATGCAGCAAATGTATTACATTCTATGAATTTACATAAATCCACAAGTGATTGCCCCTTGTTTAAAAGGAACCTGTCGGTACAGAAATATTGGAGCTGCTCCCACTGACTTATTTTTGAGGGTGCCTGCTGTCATCTCCGTTTTTACTTCCCTACTTAGTGTATGACTTACCTGGTATGGGCATGTGTATATGAAGTGTTAAGATTTTCTGTGATTGTGCATGCATTGAAAAAAAGCCTGTGCATCACACAGACATGTCAACACTTAATAAACACACGGAGCTCTGAAAACAGTCCTTAATCCAAATACCCATGTGAGCTAGCCCTCTGACAGACATAGTCACCTTGCCCATGGCAGTATCTGTAAAGGGCTCCCCCCTTACCCATTAATGCTTACCTTGCTTGCCCTCTCCTGCCACTCCTTCCTCCATCACAGCGGGCAAAATATCCCCAGTTTCTGCAGCTGATGGACGCTAGGGGAAGCAGTGACATAATTCCCTCTATCATGTAGCATTGCTCGGGCCTTGTGATTGGCTGCTAGTCCCCAGCACATAGGAGCAGGTCACATGTTCCCCATGCCTGGAAGTACCAGGTATTGTTGCCAGCTGTGACGAAGGAAGGGGCAGTGGGGGGAGAGGGACTGTCAAGGTAAGTATCAGTGGGTTGGTAGTGGGGCCCTTTTCAAAGACACTGTCACTTTGCCCTAAATGAAACAGAAAGGAAACATTTCTGCCCTGGAATGTTGGTAGGCCCTCAACATCATGACTTACAATGCTGGGCCTACGTTTGCTACTGGTCCTGCACTGTAAGTAATTGACACAACCAGAAAAGTGGAGTAGCTTTGAAGGGATCCGTCATAAATACCAGATCCATCAGGGAGAAAGATATAAGGTAAGTATTACCTTGTGTTTGAGCCCCCTCAGACAGAACTAGCATTTTGATGTTCATATGCGAGGGGATAATGCACATTTAATTCATTTGGCCAGTCCAGAGTTGGGCTTTAAACCAACCTTGTTGATAGAGTAAAAAATAACGCTAGTAGTAAACTAGTCATATAAACACAGTGTTCTTTCAGTCTGGGGACGAGTACATAAATCTGGCAGCCTCCTTAGACTTCATGAAGTGGGAAATTGGATTTCTGAAATTTAAAAAATGAAATGAGTAACCTATAACAAACCACTATAGTATTGGCATAGTACTGATTGGTATTGTGTTTGGCCCTCTCTCTGTCCATATTCTTTGCTTTTTCTTATTTTCTCCTTTCAGACATCCCAACCTGAAAAAAATCATTTCAGGTAGCTACCCTTCTCATTTCACTAAGGGGCACATAATTTAGAGACACAGGAGGATTGGACAGCCTGGTATAACCCCTCCCACTCCCAACATGCGTCAGTTTCTTGTTAATGTCCTAGGAGGATGGATATATTTTCTCTGTTGAGAAAAGTTTTTAACTATTTTTACTAGCCATTTTCTCTTTTCCACTGGAATGTGAACCCTGGGCCCTTGTTGCCAGGCATTTGGAGCTACTATATTTATTGAAACCGTTGATCGCCACAATTACCACCTTTTTTTTCCTTCGGTTTCCATGGAAAAGATTAGCACAGTGAAGAATTAAGTGCTGAGTCACTAGCAGGAGTGTCGCGTGCATGTTCCTGCTTTTTCAGTGTAAGATAGCATCTTCCCACCATTTTTCTTATTTGAATGAAAGAGACATGTGGTTCCACCTTGGTTAGCCCTTGCTGCCACCTATAGTGACCTGGTTACCTCCAACCATTTGAATCTCTCCTGCATTCTGCAGCTGGTTTGTGAGTAACCATGGTTTTTATGTGGTGTTCTCTGTTAAGCATTGCAACATGTTGGATCCCAAGCTCAAGTGGAGCAGTCCTTCTGCATCAGGTCTCTCTAGCTCACAATCAACTAACAGTTGCAGGAGAGCCTGCAGTATCCCTCATGAACCTGTCAATGACATCTCGGAATCTGCCTTATCTTCGTAAGGTTTGGCCTCCTCCTCTGCCTTATCTAGGAAGGAAATCTTGCAGCTTTGCTGGATGTTATGGACCAAAATGCAACTATGATTACTGACTTAAGAAGGGAGAGGCTGTTAGCATACTTGTATTCCTCCCACCCGGGATCATTGTCTGACAGACCTGAAGCTGTAGTAGCCTTAGCTTACGGCTGTGGAGACTGTGTCTGATGAAGAGTCTCACAAATCCTTGATGGATAATTTTGCCCCTGAGGAGCTGCAGGCAGCTACCATAGCTCCCAGGCTTAAAGATAACATATCAGGTCTTATTGACGCGGTGCATGCCATCTTTAAAAATGGAAGAATAGCCTGCAGCTTTTACTAGTCCGGGATCCCTGAGAAAACTCAAAGACGATCTGTATAAACTCTTCCCTCCCCCTAAACATTTTACAGACTAGTACTTTATTGAGGAAGTCTTCATTAAGAAGTGGCACGTTCCCACTGTGGATCTGGCAATATCCCACATTATCATTATTATACTGGATTTATGGAGCGCCCACAGATTGTGCAGTGCTTTACAATATAAGTAAGACATTACAATATAGTCCAGTCTCATGTCCTGCTTATACAGCTTTTAATTAATATTATCATACAAGATTTATAAAGCTCCAACAGTTTGCACAGCGCAGTTCAAAATAGAGACAACTAGAATACAATTCAAGGCATGAGGGTTGGAAAGGCCCTGCTTGTGAGAGCTTACAATCTAAAAGGGAGGATCAAGTGATACAAAAGGTAATAACTGTGAGCAGATGAGTTTAAGGAGAAAATAAAAGTTCAGTTTTATGTAGAGGAAGTATAGACTTCTTTGAAGAGATGAGTTTTCAGAGATTGCTTTAGGATGGACAGAGTTGGAGATAGTGGGAGAGATTGGGGGAGGGATTTACAGAGGATAGGATAGACTCCGGAAAAGTAATGGAGGCAAGCATAGGAGGAGTCGATGAGAAAGCAGGCTGTCTGGGGAAGAGCGAAGAGGACAGTATGGATGATATTTTTAAAATGAGGTTGGTGATGTAGTTTGTGTCAGAGTTGTGGGTGGCTTTGTTTATGGCAGAGAGGGTGGTGAACACTGAACAGCTGGTAAGGTGGATGAGTCTGGCAGCAGCTTTCATGATAGACTGAATGGGGCATACTCTGTATAAAGGTAGTGTTTATAAAGGTAGGCCAACTAGTTGCAATAGCTAAGGCGTGTGATAGCAAGGGAATTAATTAATAACTTGGTAGTGCCATTGGTTCAGATGGGGCATATTTTGGAAATGTTATGGAGATGAAGGTAGCAGGATTTAGACAGTGATCAGATGTGGGGTCAGAAGGAGAGGTCAGAGGTACATGGGGAGACTGAAGAGGTGATCTGAGGAGTAAAGGGATAGAAAGATCTGGGTGTTATCAGCATGCAGATTGTATTGAAAGCCATTGGAGGTTATGAACTGACCACAGGAGAGGAGGTGTAGCTAGAGAATGGAATAGGTCCAAATCAGAGCCTTGGGGGGGGGGGGCTATGGAAAGAGGAAGAAGAGATGGAGTTGTAGCTGATGCTGGGGGAGTGCTTAGATAGATAGGACTAGAACCAGGAAAAGCAGAGTCTTGGAGGCCAAGTCAAGGTAATAGATTGTAAGTTGTTTATACGGGTGGGTCCAGCGAGGTCTTTTTAAGTATGGGCGTGCCAAGTAAATGTTTTATGGGCAGCTTTTGAGAGCATAGAATAGAGCAAGAGGGGGGGGGGGGGGGCGGGGGGGTTTT